AGGGTAGAGTGTACAATGCAGCGGTACGTTCGACCTTACTGTACGGTTGCGAAACCTGGCCCCTAAGATCGGCAGATATGAAGAGGCTAGCTACGTTCGATCATCGGTGCCTTCGCAGTTTGGCTCACATCTGGTGGGAACACCGCGTGAGTAACGAGCATGTTCGACGCCTTGTTTACGGCCTAGAAAAAGGGAATGAACCGCTCAGCACCGTCATTTCACTCACCAGGCTCCGATGGCTGGGCCACGTGTTGCGCATGCCAGCCCACCGACTCCCTCGACGTGCGTTGTTTGCTCACCGGGGATGTGGGTGGAAGAAGAAAAGAGGTGGCCAAGCGATGACTTAAACCAGAGGAATGAAGTCCATCACTTCGGAGCTGGCCTCAGTTGGAGCTTCACGGCTCCCTGGTTGGGGTTCGAACGACGGTGAACACGTTTGGCTGGATACACTTGCTGATATGGCAAGGAGCCGACCTCAGTGGCGTTCCTGCTGTGAGTTTCTTTGTCCCTCCCCATCCCTTTAGCCTCCCCCTCCATCTACGATCTTATTTCGTAGGGTAAAACGTAATTAAATTTTTGTTTTTGCCTAGTAGCCGGCTAGTAGCTTACCGGAACGATGCGTATCCGTTGCTGGTAGCTCAGCTGGCATTCAACTGTCGTATTTATTTTTCCTTTATGTATTGTATGTATGTATGTATGTATTTCCTTTATGTATTGCGGTACAATAGCGGAGGTGTTTTACCATCTCTAGCTGACATGTATAAGGATGATGATGATGATGGTGATTACACGGGTCAGAATGCTTCAGATGCGCAAAAATCCGTGCGCTATATTCTTGATAGCTCTCGGCAGCACTTTTTAACGTAATTGTTTTCGCATTTTGTTCTTAGGAACTTTTTACCATTCTGATTAATCTGCCTACCGGTCAATTTCGGCCTGATTGACACTCATCTACGACTTGAGATCAAGCAGGCGTCACATGAACGCGTGCATGTTACACCCCAAGGTTCTATTGGATCCCGAGGCGACCCAACTAGTGCTACTCTATCTCTCTAACTATATTTTTTTACATCTGGGAGTATTTCTTTTGGAATCCGCCAAGCAAAAGCTCTGCGCTGCCTTTACTTCTTACTTTGGTTCATGATTAATGCTATATCTTTTCTCAGTTTCGTCGAGTGACATCCTTGCTTCATTTATCAAACTTCTGTGTTCTCATCCTGGTTACCTTTGAACTTTTCACCTTTTGCACTTTTCTTGGTTCTTCTCGTCTCCTTTACAGGAAGTCGTTCGTCCCTTCTTTTTCAAATGTCTAACCCTGGACCACGAAATGGAGTTGGAGACCATGACTATTATCCACACTGCTGTCGAATTTCTTAGCAATGGAAAACACTTGTCCTCGCGCAGAAAAGATATATCTATTTGCAGACAACAGCCTTACCACCTTTGAATCACTGACCGAATGGGTTATTAACCATCTCGGGTGTCAATTTAGGTACAATCCCGGTGAATGTTCGTTCTCATCTACGCGCGAAGATCATTCAGTCAGTACGGATGGCGTTTGTGTTCAAAGTCATCATCACACGCCTCGAGTGGTTTATGCCGCCTCTCGCGATTCGGAGTTAAACACCTCCTGCACCTTTGATATAGAATCTCAGATCAGATGTTTTCACAACGGCCTTAGGTTTATTTTCGTAATCGACGGAAGTATCTCATTGCTGACACCGAACGCCCATGGAAAGTGCTTTATGAACGACCTTCTGTACGCGGTGCGCATTTTGCTTGAGCAGTTGGTTATCGGACCCTCTTTGGTATTGCCTGGTTCCGGATTCTGCCTGAATAAAATCAGTCCAGTCGTGACAATCATTGTTGTTGTCCCAAACTCACAGTGTCACACAGTGTTGTCAGATTGGAACGTTTGCTGCAACGAATTCCCATCGAAGATTACGTTGTTAACCTCTTCTATGGCAAAAATTGAAAGGTTTTTAGCTTCACAGAAAGAGAGAATGCTTGATCCACTGCTTGCAGATCACATCGCAGCCGATTGCCAAGGTAGTTTTCTAATGGATTTATTTAAACATGGCATTTTATCCTCGTCGTTTTCGTCCCGAGACACCGAGCAGTCTTCTTTGATTTTGTTCACGGATGGTGCTTTTTCAGTTAATAACCAGGAGCTGTTGGACAGAGCCTTAACTCATTTAAGGGCTGAACGCATTCGTTGCTCGTTTGTCTTGATCCGTGACCCAGTTTCCTTCTCCGACTGCGTTCCCTCCACGGGACATGCGCTAAACTGTACAGTCGGATTAGGCAGCTGTCTAGCTCAACACGACCTCTGCACATTCATCGCGGAAGCTACTGGTGGATTCCTGTTAACTGCATCTTCTGATTTCGAATCCCTCAAAACCACTCCTTGCAATAAAACACAATGGAATGTCATCAAAGAAGCTTTGTACACTTTTCCCGTGATTAGTGAAGACCATGTACACGGAGATTATGGCAATCTTGGCTGGGTTCCTTCTGGTGTTTTGCAGACTGCATCCAAGGTGATCGACGCTCCGTTGTCTGCCATTTTGGCTGCTAGATTGCGCGATGGTTACAAACTCAGGTCAGTTAAACCAATCATTAACCTTACTGATCCCTTCAATTCTTTCAACTTCAGACAATCAGATTCAAATGGCTCTTTTCGTCCACTTCAACTTGAGCTGGATGTGCCTTGGAAGGTGGGAATTGTTTTCCGTTTTTTCATACGTGGTTTTTGGCCCCTTCTCCACTCAACGATTGAGACGGATGGTTTATCAGGAGCTTCATCTTCTGAGATTTCCCAGGAATCTGAAGTTCACCTCGAACCTGCTGGACTTAACAAATATTCGCGGAAAACCAATATTCATAGATGGCACTGGAGCCGACACAAATCTGTTACTTGGCTTAAAATTTTTGCCAATTATTCCCTTTTATACGAAATTACTTGTCAGCCAAAAGGACCGTCTGGAATACATAATCGCTCTTCGCTTGCCACCTGTTTTACCTTGTATAATCGGCGGATATCTGCCACTGACAAGCACTTGGAACACATTTCGAAGTTTTGGCACCACCAAAATACCTTCGTTATTCCAGAGGCCCTGCGTTCTCGTCAAATTGCTGCATTCAGTTTTTGCGTTGACTCAAATGGAAGGCATCTGGCGGTTCCAAATAATATACTAGGATCATCCATGCCACTATCCCTCGATGATTCTTTCTTAAACTTTTGGCGTCTTTTCATTGAATTAGATCTGCTAGAATGCTATCGATTTATGAACGTACACAGTTTGTACGGTATTCTAGAGTATGATTCCCAGTTGCCCAGTAGCATTCACCTTCCCGCGGAAGGTAGCGTTTATACCGTCTCTCTCACTTGTCGACAGTCCTTAGACTGCTTGAACTCTCTTCTCACGTCCTGGTGCACTTTTGTATTGATGGAGAATAGTACGTTCGTCCGTCTTCTTGACTGTGAGTTGCCTACGTTTACTTGTGAAAATTCCGTTTGCTTCGATTCCGACTCACGAAACACCTCTGTTACGACAGTTATCTCTGCGGCAGACTCTGTCAACTTTAAACACTCGTTTTGTGTTGTCCGTTTGGAGGTTCTTCCTCCAGAATTTCGTTTGAGACTAGGTTTTGTGATGGGCACTGCGTCAAAACTGCAAGATGAGATCGTTCGTAGTCTTGAGCGATGTATCAGCGCTTTGAGGTTTCCTCCTCGTGGTCGCCAGGCCATTCCGAAGTCTAGACACAAGTCCGGTGCTCCTTCAACTAGTAATGACCCTGTTTACATCCCTCCTCTGCAGCGCTCCTGGGAAGATATACCTTGCTGTCACATCTTTCACTCCCGGCTTGATCGTCTTGTTTTAAATTCTGGGATTTGGACCAAGCGGCTCTCCCTCGGCTTTGGCTCTACTGTTCATCGAAGCACTTATAACCATATTGGCAATCCAGCTTTAGTTAATCTCCAAGCACGAGAGCAGGGTGCGCCTTTGCTAAGAATAAAAAGTACTTTTCCAGTCAATATTCTGCCTCATCCGAATCTTGAACTACCATTACTGAGACAGCATTTGTATCACAAAAGCAGAGTTTGGGTGGTACAGCCGATTCCTTTGGCTGCTGAAGGATTGCGCACAATATTTGCCGGTTTGTTGAATCTACGTTTACAAGAGGGATTTCATCTTGTCCGAGTCGGACCCCAACCGGGATTTGTTAATTTGGCCATGGAGGTTGCGATAGGTTGTGCGGAGTCTTCTCGTTATCCATGCTTAGTGCAATACCTGTTGTACCCCTTCAGTGATGCCTGGTTAAGTCATTTGGACCCCTCAGATTTTGATAGCCCCTTGTCCTTCGTCGACACTTCAATAAGAACTGCTATCACCACAGTTATATCCGAGCAGAGACAGTTTTGCACCAATCAAGCCACTGATGACAATACTAGTATTTCGATATTTAATATCGAACCTGAAAAGACTGATGTCACTGCATATCCATTCCGGTCTGTTCAGATCATTACTGAAGTGTGGATTCAACCAGTCGATGGTCATCTACAACCCCCGGCGCCTGGGGTTGAACACTGGATAGATGCGAAGTTCAATCAAATTCCGGGATGCATTTTCCAAACGGATGAGCGTTCTGTCAGCAGTTATGTTACACTTGAACGTTTGTGCACTGTGTTGAGGTCGCCAGTTAAATGTCCAGTGCGATTTAAAGATCGAGTCTTCTCGTCTTTTGTGCACTTGTCAAATGTGCTCAGCTGCCTTAACCCAGACTGTGAAGTGAAATGGGTCTGCACCGATTTGTTAAACATTGTCTCATTATCTCCGCAGTTAACCGTCTTTTATTCTTTACTGGGCCAAGCGACCACACGTGGTGGTAATTACCCACTAAATCAACAAGAAGTTCATCTTGATAATCGATTAAATGACCAGCTGATTTCGACGTTGTGCTCCGCTATGCTACGTGATAATGTCGTAGTGGAAATACGCTTGTCCTCTGATGATATCTCGGGGTATAATCGCTATCTATGGCGACGTTGTGACCTCGGTGTTTTGGAGGATGCACAAAGTGTGCTTCCACGGTGGCGTTGTTTCATTGGTTTCGGAGGGTTCGCTTGCAAGCGTTCCAGGCTCTGTGTGGGACATACTGATGTTAGCGAAAATGCCCTCATCACTGTTATTTTCATCCCATCCACCGCTGCAGACGCTCAGCATTCCTTCTTGGACGCAGTTTCGCAAAGACAATGCGCTGTCGCCAGTGAACCAGTCCCCAAACCACATACATATCTTCCAATCTTTTTGTACAGCTGTTCGCGTTCTTATCTTTCTTATTTGGTTGACGATCGCTGGACGTATCGCGTGCCACCAGATTCAGTCTTCTGTTTTCTACAACATCTTCGAGACACTGGCGCTAATTGTGCCTCCCCTCTGCACTGCGCATCGACTTCTCGTCAGGCTCCAGATAGTTTCCTCAATGTGGGCTGTAAAAATCCGCGGTTGACCTCCGAGCTGGCCACATTATGGGGCGCGTTAAGGTGTGCGCTGGACTTTACATCCCTGGCACACATTGATGCGTTTGTGATCACTGTTCATCGTGCTATCCTTACCCAACACTCAGTTCTGCCCGAAGATTTGGAATGCGTTCTAAGCACAGCCTCAAATATGTTTCCCATTCCAAAGCTTGTTTTAGATATCACCTCCTTTTGTCTATGTTGTTGCCGACATCTTTTGCGTATCATTCAGATTGCTCATTTCAAGGGAAACCATCATGGTTTGGACTACGCCTCAGTGTTAAATGGCGATCGACCAAACTTTGTTTACCCAGCAAGAGAGAAGCTTTTCATCGGGTTATCTCATTTGGGAGATAATGTAAATTGTACCGAGGAAATATGCGCACGCTTCGTTTCTTTGTCTGATAAATTTATACGACTTGAGACCATCCATAGCGGAAGTGTATTTGTACTTAGAAGCGGGCTGTCCAAAGTTGGAAGCCGCCCCAGCAGTCCTGTGCCATTTTCTCCATCTATGGCTTCCCGTCGGAACCAAACGATACCAGACTACTTGGCTACGACCGTGAATCACACACGTAACGCCGAACTTTATTTCTCCATAGAAAGCGACACCAGCGAGAGTTCTGTCGTACTGGACGCGCCACGCGAAGAGACCTTCGGTCACCTGACCAAGCATCCTCAAGTTCAGCTTGATGTGGATCCTGTCATTCGTACTATTGCCAGTTGGGTGGACGAAACTGCGCATGAAACTGAAAAACCTTTTTTTATACATCTTCGTTTAATAATGATCTATGACAATGAATCCATCCCTATACCATTAACAGAAGCTCTCCCGTTTTCGTGCGTAACTCGGTTCGAACAAGGGCTGCGCGAGATCGTATCACGTGTGCATGGCTCATTGACATCTACCTCGAGGCAGACAGGTCCCGCAACCCAGTTCGAATTGGATCTCTCTCTGCTGCGCTTTCATTTGGAAATTTTACCCGTTTTCTGGTCGTCCGAACGTGTGTTTCAGTTCAACGTTGACGAATGCGCTACATCATTGAGCCACACCAGTCAAATGTGCCCACAATTCACTTGCACAACGTTCCTTCTTGATGAACTTGTTAATACCATCAACAGTTGGAGACACCACTCCGATTCATCATCGTTATCCCTTGCCCACAAAGGTGTCCTCTCTCAGCTTGTCCTCAAGCTGGCTTGGGAGATGCAGGATGAGGTCGTTTGTTGCCTGAGGTTATTGGTTCCCGCTACAGAAGGTAGCTTACAGCTGGTTCTGCGGCATATAGAAGACACTCAGAAGCTTAAACGAGTTTTCTTGCTAACCAAGCGAATGTCAGGACTGCTTGGTTTACATTTTGACAAAAATATTTTATTATCGTCCAGCACGACTTCCGGTGAACGGTACTGTGTTCGCAATTCATATCGTTCATATTCCTTCTCTATGCACACAAGAGGAGGTATTATCCTTAAGCGAATTGGTCTAAATTTTGTTGTCCCCGCACCACAAGCCTTCAGCAAATTTCTACATCATTTTGAGCATTTTTCTTTCGCGCCAGTGAATGCCCGTCTTCACTATCTGGGAGGTTACTACTTTCTGGTATCTGCCGTTAAGTTTGATGAAGCTGGGCTCTATGGAACGCCATCGTCTGTCGGAGTAGACAGACGCTCGTCTCTCCAACCCCCTGCAAACAATTCACCAATTGGGAAACTTGAAACATCACAGCAGTCCTCGACTACGGACATTTCTTCTGTTTCGCTACCATTGCATCAAGATATCCTCTCATGCTCAGATCCCAGTGTTAAAAGTGCGGCTTCCGTTGATCCGCACACATCCATTGCGTCTCATCAGGAACTTCATAAAAACTTGAGCACACATGGCGCAGCAGGACCGACTCCTCGGAAGACGATCCAGCCGCTTTCTGATGATGATTCTGGTGATGCGGACGAAGTTGTCCGGTTTTGTCGTAGGTTACGAGCGCAATCCTTCCCTTCTGCTCGCTTCCTTTCCCAACATCTTAAGGAAAGTTACTTATTTGATCATTCCCTCGACAATAATGCTTCGAACGCTGGCTATGAAATTCCACCGTATTGGTTGCTGTTACGCCTCTGCACCAATTCCGTGTCCGTTTTTCTTCACCATACTGGTACTCACATATCGCAATCGAACTACCTCAGAGATATCAGTCATTTCAAACAGTCCCGCACGTTGCTCATTCGTTGTCAGACCTGCCACACGTATCAATTCACAGTGAAGAGCATCCACCTCCTTATGCGATTCGTAAATCAAATGTTGTTATTAGAGAGGCTCCGTGATGAACGCATATGTGATCCTTTGCTAGTACCTCCCCCGTACGACACGCAAACTAACGAAGATGGAGTTTTGTTTACCAAATCACCGTCTGACCGGATTATGCACTGTTCTGGTTCATCCACAAACAGAATCAATGGTTTGCCTGCTACCCAGCCCTCTGGACGACGACCAAGTTGTCCAAAACTTCATACTCGAACCTCCAGCACTTCGGATGACACGGAATTCGAACGAGTTTGGTGCAGTAATCCGTTCAACTCTACCCCTTTAAATCGCCGAAGGCACTTGACTTCAGCCCAACGAACTATGTCCAGGAAGAATTCATCAGTCGTGCTTGATGTCCCATCCTGGTGGCGCCCCGGGTGCTTCGCTTGCCCTGTTCAACTCACTGACCGCATTCGTCTTCACCCACGCTTATTCCTGGCAACCGGCTCTACACAGCTCGGCACTCCGATTGGGAAAGGAAGGCGTATCGTTTCCGCACTGAGAAAACTGTTAGATAAACCGTCGGTCTTCAACCAACCGGACATGTTTTTTCTTATTGACTTCACTTTACGAGCTCCCGATTCTAGCGAAACGCTCGATCAGACTGCAAACAACCGGCGTTTAAATAGTATGGAGTCATCACCAGGTGCACCTGTGTTTTACATGATTCTCAAAGAAGTGACGGTGGAGGCCCCAGGCAAGGATGTCTGCTCGTTTAGTTTAGATGGATATGTCTCAGATGACTTTCAGTTTACCGGTGCTCAGCGAACTCCGGAAGAACTCAGGCACGCTGCTGATAAGATTGGTAGCGAACCACCTTCATGTACGGATCGAGGTAAAGCGGCTCAATTCCTACAGTTTTCACTGCATGGAATAGAAAAACCAAGTCGAAACCTATGCAAATTTGTTCGTGAAATGCTTCAAAGTCGTTTGGATGGTCTAGTGCTGGAGCACTTCTCCGATGGGTTATCGCGTAATGCAATTAATCGTCTGTCTTCAGCAGATCTTAGCTTCCTAGTTAGCCGGAAATCCCAATCACCTACATGTCATTATTATATCGCCATGCCCAAATTTCTGTCTGAATGCAACCTTCCGACACATCATCCTTATGCACCTCGTAAGCTAATTTTGGCCTTCTGTCATTATCTGAAGCAAAATCTCTCCTTGTTTCTTCATGCTGTCAAACTGGATCGTGATGCTCCGTTGTTTGGTGGATATGAACACCTGGAATTGTTTTTGTATCATCGACCTCGAGCTCACGGAGTTGAGAAACTAGGGGTGGCTACTATTATCTTTCACTTGTTGACACGATCCAGCGTTGGCAATGGTTCTGCTCCTACTTCGAATCTCGTTCCACACACTATCAAGGATTGGTCCTTGCCAAATGAATTAATTCCCCTTATTGCTCCTGTTAATTTCGGCCAGTGTGTACCGTCCTTCGATGATTTGTATGCAGCAGTCACAGACTTTCATGAAATTTCTTTTGTTGAGGTTAATTCGACTGTGGCAGTGGACCAGTTATTGATTTCGATACAAATTTGGGAGCGTGGAGAAGTAGATATTGAAAACCTAAAAGCCCGTATCAGAAGTACAGTTCTGCACAGCATCTACGATGTGATTACTGAGTTTTTTGTACTAACTGCGTCGATGAAATCACTTGTGGCTACCAATGACGACACTAATACTTCTGAACCTGATAACGAAGTTCAGAGTACTTTGAATCCGTACATTACAGCCGTGGTGTTACCTTGGCTCCGACAAGGTCGTCACTTCGACTCATCTCTTGTTGTCAAATTGAATTTGCGGTTAGCATCTACCCTCTTCGTGAACCAGTTCCTTGTTGATCTCCTTCGCCCCTTTCACGTGACCGAAGTGCCACTTCCATCGAGGGCGTCGAGAACTCTGGATGGTAGTTTGGATAGTATGTCGTTCTTTGTGTACCACAAAGGAAGCGAAAATTCAAGTGAATATCGGCTTACTGGCTTGGATCGTCTGCGCGGCTCTTCTGTTTCTCGTCCTGGCCAGTTTTCCAAATTTATGATTATTGGCCAGAATTTTCCGACATGGAGGCGTCTACTTGGACGAAAGATTGGGACAGCAGGAGAGAATTCGGTCTTGGGACGACGGCGGCACCCATCTAAGGGTGTACACTCTGATCCTACTCACCCGGAATTGGGCTTCTCATCGTGTAAGTTCCTCATGGTTTGTCCTTGCATTCTCATTACTGTTGATGCCTTGTAAGGGTAGTTGAACTTATAGCATTAGTTCCCCAATTCTCAAACTTGTCTTGAGCAAGATCAATACTCACATTATCCTCTTTAGTGATTGACTCCAGTGCGCCCATTCTTGGTGTGAGCTTCCGCTAATTTTTTGGTCTGTATTAAAGTTGGCGAACGATTATTCTCTCTGCTTTTTCACTCTTGCAGTCCAGTTTCTTACTGCAATATCATTCCTTTCCACCGTTGGGGCAATCCGTGTAGTTCGAGGTTTACCAGGACACTGGATGTTGGTAATGCTTCTTTTTCGTCTGAATCGATATGCGCCTAGTTCTCGCATGTTTCGGACAGGACTCACAATCTTTATGACCGCGTCGCATCCTCCAGATAAAGGAAGCAAGCGGGAGTGTTAGATTGAGTTTGTGTAACAGCAGATCCGACATCCGCTTCAGTATTAATTTTGTTCCCTTGTATCTCGGGCCATAAGTGCTAGAGTATAGGTCCCACGAGCGTACCGCAACTAATCTTGATGACATCTTTTCGGAAGCGCGACGGATGACACGAAGTTTAAAACATTTGAGGCGAAATATGGTCTCTTTCTTCCATAGCAGTCATGACACTGGCTTGACAACCATTGACCGCATGCTACCATATTCATGTCCTGTCTGAACCTTTCCACGTCGTTTGTTGTTCTCATGCTTGCTTGCTTACCTTATAGATGACTTAAAAAATTATTCATTTTCGTTGAGATCCATTTTGAAGTGTGCCAGCAGGCAATGGATGACTTGTAGCAAGCGAGGTATTTCAGTTATAAGTATGCCTCCATTCTTATTAAAATGGTGACAGTTATTGTCAATGTATTTTCGATTGCACGAGACGTATCTGTCACGGAATGACCGAGGTTTAACGGTTACTTATATAAACTCATGTTGGCAGGAAATCTATACATTACTTTTCAGGCCTAATATAGCACTTTGATATTTCAAAATTTTCACTTTATTTGTGTCGCCATCTAACTACCGAGTCGTGAGTGTAAAGCGATGTGACTCCATACATTTGACGTTTGACAACGCAACCTCATCATCCATCTTTGTGTACATGATACTTCCCCTTCGATTCCGTTCCCATCCCCATCTTTGGCATGGCCATGTCTCAGCCATTGCGACTGGTGCCCTATTACGCATGCAACCTCTACTAATGGTGTTCAATGTTCCTGTGCCACGTTCTACTCCGAGTGTCATCGAGATTGACGCAAAGCAAAAATCCTGTCTTTCCAATCGCCCGATTATCGATTTTTCTCCATCAACTACCACTATTGCTTCTCCGAGTAGAGCTGCTGCTGCTGCTGTCTCGTTGGTTACTGGGGACAGTATCACTTGTGAGTGAAATATGTGACCCTTCTCTTCTTTCTGTCTACAAAATTTCATCTTTTCAGCCCCTTTGATATCTGCGTGTGTGTGTTGCATCACTGTGCACTTCTGTCTCGTTACTGTACTAACGTACCATTTACCTGGCCTTAGCGTCTGGCTCCACTGACCCTGATTATCCGTTTAACTTGTCCGTTGTCGCGGTTTTAGTAGTGAAATTCTTGCTTTTCCATCTTCACTAGCTCTTTCTCTGATCTCTCTATTGATTGGTGTTATATTGGCGCATAAAGCGTTATAAGTTGTAAGGCCATTTTTGGAATTTGCGTTAAAATTGGTGTGCGCATCACTGCTGCCTTTCGTTAAACCTGTGTGCATTTGCGCCGACTTAGGCCATTTCGGTTCAATTCCGCTCAGTTCAGTGGAGCAACTATGATCCGAGCACCGAAGTGTGATAGATTCAGTTGCCACGACTCGCTTCGACACGATAACAATACATAACAATGATGCGAGAGTAAGTTGAAATCGACTAAAATACTAAATAGAAACTGATTGGGATGAAATTAAAATTAAAAACAAGGTGCAACACACTTACTGCAGGAACACCACTGACTGCGCCATGTCTGATACCGTCTCCAACCACTGATTTGAACCATCCCAAGGCCCCCATGATCCACATATACGGCACGCACCCGCCTGACCAAGTCTCACAATCAATTTATTCATGCTTTTATGCCACGTCATCTACTACTAGACCATTCGTGGTTTCGCCTAGCTTGGTGCATCGACGGCGTGTAATGCACGCCGAGCAAGCCGGTCGTGGGTACATGGAAGACATGACTTAGCCAAGGTAAACGACTACGATTTACCAAACACTCCAGAATGCTTCTTGTCAAAAGCCAACAGGCGGATGTACGCATTGTTCACGCGGTGTTCCCCCCGTTGACTACCGGTGCTGAAACACGGCCAAGCGTTTAGTCTTTTCATTACGAACTGGCTAGGTCTCTGATCCATACAGTTAGACTGGCCTTATCGCAGCGTTATATACCCTACCTTTCATTGACAGTCTGACAGCCCGCGGTCTCCACAGTTGGTTGAACCTTGGAATTGCCACACTTACCTTGCCGATACGCTAAGTAACCGCCTCATTGATGTGACCGACAGAGGTTATACAACTGCCAAGGTAAGTGGACCGATTCACCACATCTAGTGGCTGTTCGCTGATAGGTAAGCCGATGGCGTATCGGTTCAATCGTGCAACCATACTTTGCACTTTATGTGTTCAAAGTACATTGCTAAACATGCAGCAATACACGTCAGTCTATCCAGTAGTATACGCATAGCCATCTCATCAAACCAAAAATAGCCATATCGTCCGCATACTTCAGGTTTGTCAGCCGGTCACCTGGCAGAATCTCCGCTCCGGAAGAGTCTGAAAGAACTGTATATTCTTGATCATTTCAACCATGAAATTTAAAAGATCGAGAAAACAACGAGATTTTGTGATTTGTTTGATCTGATGTACCCTGGACGCCCTTCTACAGCATCAGTCAGAAGCGCGAAAATGAGCGCAGGGTTGCTTCCTTACCCCTCCCTCCTTTCTCATTATTTTGTGTCCTGCGTCATTCATTATTCTCATGTAAGCAACACACTCCGCTGACCTTATCCCTATCTTCTCTATTCCTACAGCTGATGGCTTACCCGGCTTCTGTCCGATCAATTTTCAACTGCCTTCAGATGTGACTTCGATAGAAGGGGAGCATTCTGAGCCATCCGGATTCACGCTCAGTTATCCCCAGTCCGTAGGCAGTCCCATCTGTGTTGCTGATGTATCAGTTGCCAATGCGGCTCCGATTGCTGCTGCTGTCTCATCTGCTGAACAGTTCCTCACTGTAAATGTTCAGGTTCCTAGGCAAGCCTACTGTCTGTTTACCATCGAGGACCGCCAAGTCACTGTGTATACCTACAACTGGTCCAGGGAGGAGGTAGAACGCCTTGCGCATCGATGCACCGCCCTTGCAGATTGGTACAATAACCGGGTGAAGGTGGGGACACTTTCTACTACCTACACTTATCTGTGCTATCCCATCGAGCCTCATTACATTTTAATAGTAGACCATTTTGACTTTCGGGTTCCTGGCATTATACCTTACTGTTTAACTCCGTATACAGTTTACTATATGCTTTAATCCACGTTTCACGATGTCTTCAATTACTTTTCTGATCTCTCTGCAAACACTCTGACTCATTTTGACAATTGCCGATTACTTTCATGACTCGAATCTTTGGAGTCCGTCAGGTTGTTCCCGCCATCAGTGCACGGTAATTATGCACCATCTGGGACAGCCATATTTGCGCAACTCTCTGGCAGCTTGTTGTTTTTCTCAAATGGCCTTCCGGAACGGTTGTTACTTGCTCCGTGTCCAGACTTACATCACTCGCTCACCTTATCCCTGACCGTACTGCTACTTACTATGATTCGCATCTCAATAACAACGGTTTTGCGGTCCATTAAATTCTCACCATCTCTACATGTTGTCACCAGTGTTTTCCATATACCTAACTGAGTAAATATAGTGGAGTTCGTCATCTCATCTGCTCTGTGTCTGTCTGTTCCCCATGTGTTTTCGAGCATCATGAATCAAATCGTAATGACTATGCACCCAGCTAGAAACGCTCAGCATTTTACGCTTACACTACGAATGTAATGCAACACCATATGCAAGCAAGTATACGTTCACGCGTGATATTGATACTCTTCTTTGAGTCCACAAACTAACGGGATAAATACGGTAGGATAGAATTGTGATAAAATGTTATGCAATGAAGCAAAACTCTAATTTTTTAACGCGTAGAAGAACAGAAGAGAGCTTTGATGAATCATTGTGCAGGGGATAAAAAGGATCCCTTATTACCTCTAATGACATTTAGTCAAATGCACCAAAATGTCTACTGCCATTGTAGTCAATAAGAGGCTCTGTGGCATCCACCACGCCTGGTAATGGACTTAATGGAACAACGCACAGTTAATGTGTAATCTTTCTGTGAAAGACTAGGGATATGATAAGTGAACAATCTAGCCAGTGTGAGGAATAAAGGCAGTGACGATTTTATAAAAAGCAGGGTACTGAAAGTTTTACGGATTGGAAGCTGCTACGGATGATCGCTCGCTTCACACTAGCAAAATATCGGACTTCCAAGCAGGAAGTTTAATACGGGTAAATAAACCGACGACAGACTACCGCCCACCTGGAAGGAAGCGCAGCTTGGGGAATTCAAAGTACACCGGCTGAAAGGGAAAAGAGAACGATAGATAGCGCAGTGTGTCTTGCTGAAATAAACCAACAGGAAGGGAAAAGGAAACAGTCTTGTGGAGCGATCAAAACGGTATCAACGAAAAGGTCTTGCGCATTGTTTTGTTTCTCACAAAAAAGTATCGGAAAAGGAGTAACTCCAGGGTACCAGTTACTACATCACCTCCTCTTTTTAAGATTGCTTCCCTGTAGCTCCGCTTCCTTGGATTCAGCAGCAAAGGTTTTACTGGACCTCGGACTCGATGTGCTCATCGATGAGGGTGCAGACTGACATCGACCATATCTTCTGCTGGAGTGGGAATCGTGTTGTTCGTGGAGGGAGTGACAAAGGTGTCCAGTAGGATGTCTAGCGGAAGTACTCGATGACTGATGTCATTCCTTGAGTCTGCGTGCCTTAGACGTAACTGGCTACGGTACCGCCTTCAAGTTCCATCTTTTACTGATACATTGTATAGTACTCGTTTTCGGTGAGCAGTAATAACAACTCCAACCCATTCATTGTTTCCGCGTCTGTAATCCCCAGCGTATACACATGTTCCGACATTGATGCCATGATGATTCTCTACTGCAGAAAGTAGAGGTGAATCGCTCCTCAGGAGGAGAGCATGATGAACTTTACAGTTTGCGACCAACCAGAGCTTCGGTTGGGGAACGACCTTCGGGCGTCGCCACGTTGGGAGTGGCTCGATACACAAGAAAGTTTGCAGTATCTCATCAGTATTCCTCTCTCCACGCGACTTCAGAAGCGCGCGCTTCGGCGTTCGGCTTGATTATTCGACAGAGTGGTACGGCGGAGCCCGTGTGTGTTGAATGTTAAAACGGGAGCACAAGTCCGTGATTTGGGCTGACGTGAACTGAGTCCCATCATCTGCAACAAGCACATCTGTCAAACTGTGCGGGCTGAAGATCTTCCAAAGTGCGGAAATCTTGCTGGTTGATGTCTCCGGCTTAAATGCAACTATTTCTGGCCACTTGGAATAAGCGTCGACAAGGACTAGGTACAACACTCTATCGATTGGACCAGCGAAGTCTAGGTGAAGACGGGACCATTGACCGCGAGGCGATGGCCACGGTGTCGGTTTAGCAGCTTGTTGGCATTTAGAACACATTTTGACAAGTTCCTATATGTCGACATCCCTACCTTGCCAGTAGACATGACCACGTGCGCTTGTCTTCATCCTGCTGATGCCCGGATGACCATAGTGAAACTGGCGGAGAACAGCTGGACGGAGGGAGGATGGTGCTACAACTCTGTCGGTGAACATAAGGCAAGAATTAACGATAGATACTGATTTGCGGCAACAAAACAACTGATGTAGTTCACCAGTAAGGTTTTCTGTGGGCCAGTGTGACCGTGTGAAGGAAATGGCATGTTAAAGAACCGCGTCGCGCCTGGTTGCGTGAAGAATGCTGACAGTGGTAACCGGAATCCCACGGACGGCATCTGGGAGCTGCCGACGGACATCTTCCCCAATGTGAGCAGAAGCAATGACTACGTCGTCTTCAGGTGTACAATGGTTGCTGATAAGGCGAGATAGCACATCGGTTTGTCCGAACTAGTCGATGCGACGGTACTGGTTGGAAAAATCATACTCCAAGCGGGTTGTTACCCAACTTTGAAGACGATTGGCCGAGTATACTGAGATACGCTTCTTTGCTCTCAATATCGAAAGCAACGGTTTGTGGTCAGTAAGCAGTGTGAATTGGCAACCAAACAAGAATTTGTGGAATTTCTTGACAGCAAAAATTATAACCAAAGCATCCTTTTTGGTTTGGTCTTAATTTTTCCCAGCTGCAGTGCGTGTTCGTGAAGCGTGAGTGATGGCCTTTTCAGAGCCGTTTGGGAAAACGTGGGAAATGCTTGCTCCTAAGTCGTAATTACAAGCATTTACTGTGACTACGATAGGCATATTAGGATCGTAATGTGTCAACAAGTGGTCTGACATGCATCGGCACTCTCCTTCACGGTAACTGGTGTGGGAGTACCGGGCCTACTAGCCTTCCTTCAGTTAAGCTTCTTGAGGCCTCGGTTCATTTCGATGTTTGAATGTACTTGGACCAGAGCCGGCGAATGAAGTTGAAGTGAATACTTGCTGTGGAAAAAAAACCGAACTCAGAACTAACCTTATCCACATCCATAGTACCGTGCTGGTTACTAAGGCTTTTACCGCATAACTGTTTTAAGTATTCCCAGGCCACGACGGTTGTGGTTGCATCAAATAGCTTTTACCTAAAATTATTCACTCTTAACATCTCAGCTTTTATTGCTGAAGTGAATCGTTTGTCCGAGGCAGTCATTTTGCGTTTCCTGGCCCGTTTTTTTCTCGTTCGAAGTTGTTTTGGTGTTGATAAGGCGAATCTGTCTACTCGTAATTGCATGGTTTCGACCACGCATCACTCACGGAAGCAAAAGTTGAGAAAGTCAGTGCCACTGATCAGACGGATCTTTGATGAAGACTGTTAAATCACTCCTTGAGAGTTTTGCCTTCAGTGTCGCAATATTGGATGCCGTTAAAACTTATCGCCTTACAGGTTCGAAGTGCTTATTAGCCAATGAACCAGTGAGTTTTGCCGTAAACGAAAGGACCTACTTTTATGGTACAATGTTCGAAGTTACTGAGTGGGGCCCATTTTTGCGCAGAAAGCAGTCGGACATAGTTCGTGAAGACGAAATCCAATTACACTTATAGTTTGATCGGAAAAGTCATTGTGTTGGCCATATCATTTGGACATCTCCTCCAGCACTACTTATTCCCTTTCAACTTCTAACAAAGTCGCTCCCATGTGGCGCCGTTTATCAACCAGTTTGACCTCAACCAATAATCCATTCTGCATCGTTGCGTTACATAATGATTCGTTTTCTTTTGCGGTCTCTTTGGTTCCCTCACCGATTAGTACAATGTCTCTGTCACCTTCCTATCGCTTTATATTTAGATTCTTATAACGTCCTTTCTATGCAGCTCTTATCCACTTTGTCCGCTCAAAAACTCGGCCTATTTCACAATTTGGATGATGCCTTCACTCGAGGATGTGTGTCTCGCACTGCGACCTTGGTATACAACACCTGCCCACCGGAACTAATGGGCCCAGTTGAATCTCCGCCTTCTACCTCTAGCTTGTTAGAGAAGCCAGTTTGGCCCGTCAGTATATCTGGCACAGCAGTGCCTATCGGCACCAACTTTGTGAAAACGCAGTCTACACGTCGGCGGTATCCAACTTCCGGAACAGATTTGCCAACGTCGGTATCGGGGCCTGGCGGCAGTGTTACCAATACGCCAAATGCCTCTGGTCATGTGGGCTGCACCACGAATGTTCCCTCCTCACATGGCGGTGTACTTTCTACCGAGTCGCAGATTGCGTCCGTGCACAATTTTCTGCGTTTGTTTCGGGTTCGTTACAAGTTCATCGTCCACTACAGATTTTCCCCTTTATCTTTTCCTAACCTTGTGTCAACTGACTTAATTGTTTGTTTGTTTTTTGCACCACTTGTGTAGCTTTCGTTTTCTTTTTAGCTGCGAGTTATGCAACTACTACATCTTTATTCTGCAATATTGACGAGGCACTTACAAACTATGGTACCTTAGTACCTCCGTTGGATAACCATGCATACTCTTCGTCGGGCGTTAGCCAGCTTTCCTGTTGCGACTGAGCAATACGCGGTCATCGAATATGCCAGCACGCTCGATAAGTGGGATGCTTTCGGAAAGTGTTTACACCTCTGTGAACTGATTGGTTCATCTGCTGCATAACTTTGCGGCGCCTTAAATCCGATCTTCCTACTCTGATCCTAGCGAAAAGTCTTTTTCCCCTCACTCTTATATCTTATGCAATGCTTTCGCATCCTCATTGGTAACGTCCTTCAACGTGTTAATCCATTGATCCTCCTCGAAACCCATCGTTCCCGTGGTCCCTAGTATCTCTTGGTGTTATCGGATTGCTTGAAATACACCTTTCGGATTTACGTTTGAACGCAGTTTTTAGTGCATTCTCTTGTGGTTATTCATGCAGACCGGATAGGGTGCCATATTCCACCACTGTTTCAGAGACAGCTTTATGCACGGTTGCCTTTCGATCGCTCATGGTGCCCGGTTGCCGCGTGGTTTGCGATGTTGGTGTATCAAGGAGATTTGTCACAGTTAGACTCTGATCAATTTTCTACTGCATATGCGAAAATTTACTGAATAACAGTTACGTTTCTTGGGCCCATCGGCACTGTATGTCCCCTTCGGACTATTTATAATAGTAAGTATTTTCCCAAAAGATAGGATACGTACCAGCAAAGCTGGTCCGATCATAGGGCAGGAAGAAAATTCCCATTAATATTACCTGTGTGTGCTGATGTCGTCCGGCATTCACCGGTTCGAATTCGCGTAGGTTCGGGAGACCTTCGCGTTATCTGTAGCCCACGTGCGACCGGTGTTGGTTGCGTGGCAGCGTGGCGTCATTACGGTATGCCGACGTACTGCTGATGTCCTCTTTGTTTCTGGGACTTGTGTCGACTGATCACGGATGGTGTGAGCCACTGATATGGTCGGGTCACCAGATGATCCACCATTGTGGTACAATTCGCTGTTGTGCTAAAACGGGGTTTTTTCTCCATAGCCGGAAATCATCTGACGAATTTTAAGCATCATTTTCCCCTCATGGCACTTGTCTTCCATTGTTTCCATGTCTTGGCGATTTTTCAGTGACTTAGATCACCGCAATCAACTTCAACTGAATCATACATTCCACAACGCTTATCTAAGTAAATCTGATTGGCCTCATCGTACACCGCTGCTGTGTCTACACGGCTACAGAATGAGCTCACTTTCGTCTTCATCACCATCATCATACACGTTAGCTAGAGGTGGGGAACACCTCAGCTACCGTGCCGCACACTTTCGTCTTCGTGAGCTTTTATTCTTCTCACGGGCGACTAAACTGCATCGGTCACGCTCATATGTTTTTTGTTACCTTGGCAGGACTGCGGTTGCATCCCACCTTTGGAGCCGTCCACCACCGGTGATCTACTGCATCGGCATGGCCGGCAAGCTCTTGCTGCCCTGGAGCTGGATTATCATCGCGCACATCAGCTGGAACTTATGAGCCTTCCATTTCGTGCTTGGCAAGCGGCCCGCAGACACAGCCAACCCAGTGAACCTGGAGGTGTCTTCACGGGTTCTGTCACCACTGGATCTCAGTACTCTGCAAAGAACCACAACCCGTCGTCCGGCTTGGGAAGTATAAGTGTCAGTTTGTACTGTTTGTACTCTCTATTATGCTATATTCTTATTCTGTGTACCTTTCTCTTACCGGTTGCAGTCATCATTTTCTTCTTTTTTTCATTCCCTAGGCCGAGGCTGCACTGGCGAGCGATCCATTGCCGAAACGGCTCCGTCGGTTCTCCTCTATTCGCATGGCTTGTCGACTTTTGCACACTGTATGTACGCCCATATTGTTCTACCCTGCGGTGAGAGCCAAGGCAGTGCAAGCTGCCCGGCTAGAGAGCATCACACTTAGACGAGTGGCCGAAGCGTGTTATGCGGCCCAACAAGGCGGTCTGCGCGGTGGCAGTCGTCCGGATTCGGATTGTGAAGCATCGCAGCAGCAGCAGCAGCAGCATGCGTATGATGATGACCGGACTCTACGCGCTGGCGCTTTGCGAGCGGTTATCCGCACTGTCCAAACAGAAGCGCCGATTTTACCGTGCGATCACAGGTAAGCTAGTTCTTGTCGACAAAGCCAGTTGTCCATTGGGGATAGCGGCTTATTCAACCCGGCTCTCATAACACGTTGATGTGTACTGTTGCCTAGCTTTCATGAATAACACAGCAAACTTTTTACTTTTGTACTTACGACAGCATTGTCGTACATCGATAATAATGAGGCTGTTAGTGGAATCATTTTAGCCGAAAACAGGGAACTGAATGTAACACTGCAAAAGGATGTCAACAACTCACCAAGTTACAGACGGCGGACTACTGGCGCGTCCCATAGTGGCGTATTCGGTTAGCACATCATTTGGTTCCTGGTTTATTCCTTGAATTCACCCTTTCGTTTCGATCGGCTCGCTCAATCACACTTCTTAGCGATTTTCATCTGCTTTCTCCTATACCGTCTATGTTTGCGCGATTCGTTTGCACATGTGCTGCGTGTACAGGCTTAACCATCATTAATTACACCGCGTTGACTGACAGGCCACTTGCGTCTATGGGACAAATGTAATATCAATCAACTTCGAAATAGTTATAATCACACTAGATGGTGCGTTGTGTGTTCTATGTGCCGTCATACCGAGCGTTGCATAGGTCAGCTAGGTTCCATTGTTACCATTTATCAAGACCTGGAAACTCGCTTTCATTATCATCTTCAAAAAGTGCGTTAATCAACTTTGGTCACGTTTCGCAATCCAACCACACTGCGGGCACTGCATATTCACGTTTGCATTTCCTAACAGCTGTGCCAAGTGTTGTCCACAGATATCAAATGCCCAGCGCGATGGCTGTTAACCATTAGACCCTGAGCTCGAGGTTTCTTTATCAGATGAGCCTAAACGTGGACGATACTGACCGTGGGGTTTCAGTGTTGGGAGGAACATGCCTGAAGCGATTCACAAACTGGTTTATTGAACGATGGACATGATTGTACAAACCTCAACGATAGAGAAGCTTAGGGATAGAAATTTCATCTAACTTCTGAAACGCCTTGAATTCTAGTGCGTACGTTCTCTATCCGATGAACACTTTTGGTTGGCTGCACTAGCTGACATGACGAAGAGTCGACCTCAGTGACGTTTTTGCCCTTCCCCTTCCCTTTTGCTTCCCCCCTCTACAATAACGATCTCAAACCATATGCATAATGTGATATCTGGCCTCATGTTACTTTTTATAACCTTTGTGCTTAATATCCTTTACTCTTTTTTGCATTGTGACACATTATCTTTGGTGTGTTTCTCACCCATGACCAACGCGTATTGATAATGATGAGATCAGGTAGGTTCGAAACCAATAGTAAATTGTAGCCTTTCCGGGCCAGAAACATGCAATATATCCTGCTGATAAAGCAGCTTGCTTTATTGAAGTAATGCACTTCCACCGGGGGTACATCAGCTTTAGTCTCACGACACCACCCATCTGCGTACTTCTGCGCCTCACCACAGCCACCTCATCCACACTCTGAGTCCATATGTATCATGTATGTATGTGCGATCATTACGTGCGTATCCTAGGATGATAGGCCGTCGGACCGGTCCACGGTTGGTTCATTCCTTCCAATTTCCCTGTCTTAGCATTCTACTTTTGGCGCAATAACATTTATGGTGCAACATATGGAGAAAACTACAGATTTTTCTGACCAGCGCGTACCACTTTACCGACTGTGGGCTCCGGTGTCTACGAACTCCGCTTATTGGCTATCCCAACCAATAAGCCGTGCCATCAGATTTCATCGTTTGTACCTCACCGTTACCATCTAATTCTCTTTTTCACACTTTTTCCATCCATTGCGTCGCATCCTCTTCTTCACATTTTCACCGGCTTTATTTTCCATTTTTGTGCTGATAAACACTCTTCTAACCGGTTCCGTCATTCTTCGATACTGGGGGTCTATTTGCACAACTACAAGTATCCCTCTACTATACGAACGCACGATTTACATCGAATTTGCAGTCTTATTTTGGCAGCTTGTTACCTGATCTGTACACTTGTAGACCCATTGATGCCTCGTTCATTTTTCATGTGTATGATGGGGCTTTTTCAATTCAAGTGGAAGTTAGTATGTGATGACCATATTCCTATCTATTAGACAACACCTCATAGAGTGCAATGTTTTCGAGCGGGCAACGCCCAATTTCCTTACGATTCATCGGATACGGTCCTAGTGCCCGAATGACCAAAGTTCACTTCAATGAGAATCGCTGTCCACCTGGAGATTGCGCGTCGCAATACTTTCACATAACGTGTATTTCAAAATGTCCCTCAAATAACTCATGAATCACACTTGTTTATCGTTTGTTCTCTCGGTACAGTTCCACAACCGGAAATTCCATCACCGGCGCCCGTACGTTGGCTGACACGCTTTCCCATACCAAGGTACAGACTGACCTACCAATATCAGGACATACTCAATCACCTTTGTCACCTTGGCTCAGCTGGTCGCGCAACGTTTTGCTCGACGCTGCAGAAGAACCTACCAACTCTTGCAAAGAAGACCCTAACTGTAACATTGCTGGGGAAATTGTCCCGTCATCAAAACCACCCGGCACCTTCGGTCATACACATGACCAATATCACCGTGCTGCCTTGGCATTCCTTGCCGAATACGTGCGATATCTTCAGCACGCTGTTGGGTTTCACGTTATCCCCTTCACTGATCCTGGTGCTGGTGTCTCTGCGAGAGATCAGAGTGCATCCTCTACCCCGACTGGATCATACGCTTTACTGCACAAGACTATCCATTTGGCTGGAGTGCACATCGTGGAAGTGAGTCTGTCGTGTTATCTCTGCATAGGTTTGTGATAATAACAATAATAACAGTAATACATATATTTCTCTTGATGCGAGAGACTGTCTATAGCGGCACAGATCAATTTGTACAGGAGAATCCATGCTCTTGCATGGGTGACATGTATAGGTAGAGCATTGGGATATGCGTTTCATGTATTAACATTCTGACGGATGGTTGAGGCCAAAACCTAGTTACGAAAACTTTGTGTTCATATGTTTTTGGGCCCCTCTTGGAATAGTTCATCGAGGGATTTTTCCCATCTGAATATAGATCTTAAGGTAGGTAGATCAAGGTAATTGACGAGTCTGTTTCTAAATGTTGCCACGTTGTCACATGATCTTACTTAGAGCATAGAATCCGAATGCATGAGTACTTAGCATGCTTTGGAAATTGCTCCCTTTTCTTGCCTTCTGCTGACTCTATCTTATTTTATGACCCCATTCAAACTGGACCGTCTGCCCATCACACCGTATTTTCTTCCCACAGGTTTTCATTCGCCATTTTCACCTCCACATTCGCTTGGGTACACTTGAACTTGGCCGTTTCAGCCGACACGGATCTCGTTGTCTCATCGCTGGTCCACTCAGTGCTGCGGTGATCACCCAGGCAGCTGCATCAGCTGCTGCGACTGCGGCTTCCGTGAGGCGGGACGCTGCTACCTCCATGAGTCGAGTTCCCGGGTTAGCGATTACAAACCCCAACATAGAGCCATTGTATTCAGGCTCAAGCCGAATCGATCATCATCAGCAGCATGCGATTAGCTTCTCCTGGGATGAATCAAGCCGCTTGTGTGATTACACACACATCCATTCGTTCTCTTACGATTACTACTTGCGCAGTATCCAGGAGTATTTGGCGAGTAAGTCGCGGCTTTCGAACAGACTGTGTCGCAGTGAGCCGTGCCGATATTCTCTCATCTTCATTCTGTTCATTGACTTTCCATTATCTCTGCCTTTTTTTCGCATAGGTCAGCGTCATCGCCGAAAGCCGGGAAATTCGGCCTCTGGTAGAAAATTTTCCAATTCAGCGTTTACCAATGCAATCGGAATCACGGACTTCCCGGTGACAGATTTTCTATCTGATCTACACCTTTTGTCTCCTCAACCTCCAGTTTTTGCTCGAGGCTGCCTACGCTCAGTTCAACTCAGCTGTCCAGTGGGCGCCCATCTGAGGCCTGATCAGGTCTTTCATCATCTCATTGAAGCGCATCGGAAGTACGACATCCAGGTAACCGATTGAGCGAAATTTCTAGGCTTTGTCACATATGGTCACCGCCTTTAGCCGTCGAAATCTTCGTGCGATTTCGTAGTACACATTCAGTGATTCAGATGTCCGTCGTACAGCCTGTGTGCTCTAGGTTTGAGTCTACGATCCCGCATGAGTTTGAGCGCCCCCCGCTTGAAGTTGCATGAAAGTGCGTCGGGGCTTTCAAAATTAGTCGGCTTTTTGTTCCATCGGCGGAATCACTTACACTCACGCTTTCGGTAACTGCTTTATTTTTCTTCATCAAGCCATACAACAGGTCATGTTAACTTACACTCGCGATATTTTCCAATTCCTATGTGTTTCTACTTCTCGGGACGCCCCATTTTTTCCTGGTCAAGCCATAAGAAATAAACTGACGCGAATCTACGAAAAGACCAAATCTACTAAGAAGCATCTGGCTGAATGAAGGGTCACTCTACGCAAGAAAACATTACGGAGCATGAGTATACCCATCATACTTAGCTCACATATCCGATCACTTGCGAGCAAAATGGATGAGATTAAAACCAATCTGTTCTTGTGAATACTCGAAGCTAGGCGTAATTATGCTCAAAATCTGGCTTTATGAGGATGTGGACGACGCAGTTGTAGCAATCGAGGGATTCCTTTGCCATCCTGCCGACCGGAAATGTACATACCTTAACCGAGTTATTACTTCTATCAAGCCGTCGTGCTGCACGTCATCAAAATGTATGTTTCCTTTCTCTTCGTCACGTAGTGACTGTTTAATTTTGAAATGTAAGCCAAGATGCTTACGCGGCAAATAGCTACACTTCCCCTAGCTGCCTCGCCTCTAAAACAGAGGCGTTTTGCGATCAATTCACTTTAACTGTCATCTACCACTGTGATTATTCTCTCTGCATTTTTGCTGATGACTTCAACAGATTTGACACAACTTTTCTCACTGACCTCGGGTTACAAAGTGTTATGAACTCTCCCACTAGACTTGAAACAACCATCGATCTGATATTATTTGTAAACAATGCGAAGTTATTTTTTGTGTACTATCAGGCGCCGATTGGTAACCCTGCTTACACAAGTTCAAATTATCTCCTGTGGTCTACAGCAAAATAAATCACACGGAGCTCACTCGTTGTAAAGATTGTAAGCTTAAAAGAAGGCAATGTTCACCTCAGCACATTTATCGACTACAAGAAACGATTTCATCTACAGACTTTAGTGGATTCCTTGACAGTAATTTATCTACTTACTGTGACCAATTAACGAGATACCTCAACTTCTGTTTTGATATCTGCTATCCGTGCTGATCGGTTTTCATCTCCTTGTGTAAAACTTCTGTGTAAGCTCAAAGATAAAGCATTGCTGCAGAAAGACCATGTTGCAGTTAAGTCACTTCCTATTTCTATCAAGTTAGATTTGCTCCGTCTAAATCATCTATATGTCCAGACCATGCTTAGAAACAATATCTGCCCAGAGGTCTGACGGATGCTGGAACAACTTAGTGGTGTCTCATACCGAGAGTCGAATACAGAGGTGGAACTTAAAGATTTGAACCAAAACTTTTGTTCTTTCACTGCTAACTGCACTTCTTACCCTTCCTCCGCCGAGTGGACAGCCCCATGATCTTTTCATCTGCCATTGACCGGAATACAGTACTCAATCACCTGCTGAAGCTAAATTCCAACAAAGCAAGTGGCCCCGACGGATTATTTCCCCTTGTCTTCAAGGTGTGTGCTGCTTTCTTGGCCCAGCCTTATGCTGACCTGTACACGTCGTGCATACAGGAATGTAAAACTACCGGTGCCAAATGAAGACTCAGATAAATACCCGCCAATTGCTCGTACCTCAGTAAACCTGAAGGTCTTCGAGAAGACTATTCTTGTATAGATGATGACACGAACTCTTCCAAATGATCCGCTTCAGTTTGCTCATTGTAGACTGAGGTCTACTGAAGACGCACTAGCCTATTTTGTACATTCAGCGCTGGCTTCATTGGACAATAAGACCAAATTTGTACGAGTATGTTTCCTCGACTATAGCAATGTTTTCGGCTGTCTAAACCGTGAGCTTCTTTCGGGAGTCCTATGTGATACGGGGATCCAACCTTCCACTGTCCACTTGCTGAGGGACTATTTCTCTGGACGTGCTCAGTTTACTCGACATAGAGGTAGAAGTTCCTCGCTACTCACCACATCCTCCGGGGTTCTTCGAGGAGCCATATTGTTACCATACGTTTTTTCTATTTACGTTGCTTCATTGCCCGCTCCTGACGAATCGATATCGCCAAAATCTGCAGACGACGTAGTCTTAGGTATTCAGCATCCGACCTCCTCCTCATAAATTAAGTTACGGGACTATCTGGACGACCTTACATTAAGGTCCATAGCTCACTTTTTATCGCTAAATGCATTAAAATGCAATGACATTCTATTTTCCCTTCACACTGACCGTGGTTATCAACAAATTCTAATGGATCACCTTGAAGTTCACATAGATTGTGAGCGGTTGCGCTCCACCGAGTCTGGAGTATCTAGGTGTTACACTCAGGCGTGATCTATCATAGTCACTCCATGTGAATGAAGATTTTACAAAAATGAGAAGGCTTTCTTTTTTCCGCTGCGCATTTGCGATCCTCTTCTGTCCCCCGCTACCTAATACTGCGATTTATTACCGCTTGTGTCTTACGTCACTGGACTTATTGCTCCCCTGTAACATTCCCCGGTTTTCTAAAGAATCATTTCACTATCCCAGAGCTCATTGACACAACTATCTCGGTGTAGCAGTATTCTAAAGCCGACCTTTGTTAACATTATATTTGTCTACTCATCCCGATTCATGCAAATGGCTTGCTTCGAAATACTCGCTGACGCAACTCACCCCCTTTATCGTGCACTGACTGACTGTACATCAAGTTCCCCAACTATACAAAAGTACAGATCTATTTATTCCCAAACACTGGCTTGCCACTCATCCGTAACCCCATATTTGGCGTGCTTTTTGTGCTACCCGACCTCAGTCGTTATGGAGCTTACAAGCAAATTCACATTGTAACAATATTACTGTCTTTACTGCTTATTACATTTTTGTCTATTTTTACAATACCGAAGGCCTGTGTGTAACAGCTACATATCCACCCCGGGTGCATGAAGCTATTTCTTGAATTGAGTCATCACTAAGCGTATTGGTGTACTGTGACCAATTTGCATCCGTGTCATGTCCGAAGCTGGTATTCACCAAGTCACCCTCTGACGAGTGCTGTGTCGGAACTTAGAGCTCGCCTCTTCACACAGGTGTGGCAACCACTCATCGTTATCATTACGAGAGCCCTCATCGTGTTGCTCGCCTGTACGCACCTAACCAGTGGGCGGTTTTCGAAATTGAGCGTTCAGATTACCAGTCATTTGTGCCGAAGCTCCTTCAGATATTGATATAAGTCATTTCTCACTGGGTTAGCGCTACAGTTTTTGTGAGGTGCAGGCATGTATTGTACAGCGCGACTTTAAACCTTCGGCCGACTCAACCAGTCAGATAGCACACATCCGGCTACTGATTGGGATCCAGTCAATCGGAGCTGCTTCATCCCGATGGGAGCTCAGAGTCATGCCCACACTAGCTTGCCCGGCATTCGAAGCTGCTTTACCTACAGCGCACATACATGGTGAGGTTACTGACAACTGGTGTACTGCCGATTCCCACTATTTGTTTTTTCGTTGAGCGGCGATGATTTGGTGGAACTCAGCGTCACCATATGATCTTATTCGAACGAACGTGGTTCACTTCTTCCAGCAATCGTATGTCATGTCTTTGTTGTCAAACACATGAGCCAGCATGATTGAACGAAACATCATTTTTAAAGTATTCCAGATACATCGCATGCCTTGTTACTCCCTGAACACTCTTTTGTTTTGATGTGATCTTAGGAGCTGCATGGCATTCCTGTGTCCACTGGAACGCGTGCGTGGTGATGCCAGTAATCATCCCTGTTTCCCAAAATTCGGCTTCTAGTTTGTGGCTCCCGGGGGGGGGACACTTTCTCTTCGCATATAAAAATGTCCATCAGACTCGTCTGGAACTCTGAGACTCGGTAGACAAAGTGGTGTTCAGCAAAAGAATAGGTTATCCCAAATTGGCCGAATCTATGTATTTCTCACGAGCAACCGATCTTTTATATCCCGCTTTGCTATCTGTTGGACTAGCCGCTTTATTATCAGTGAGTAGTAGGGGGTTATTGTGTTTCTGAGAAGCTTCCTCGCAGCTATACTCAGCCAGACAGCCACCACAGATCCAGGAATATGCTAGACGGTCGTTTCTTCCTATTGGGACTCGTCAGTGGCGCGCACTCGCCGAATCCTCCCGGATTCGAACCCACGACCTTATTCTTACGAGCTAGCGGTTTATGTCACTTAGCCATGGGTGACGGCAGCAGACCGCCATGACTGATATCTAACTGCGATATAGCGCGGCTCATCTTCCACTGTCATACATGTTATGAACGTGCAGAGGACAGAGCTGGCCCCCAGAGCAACAACTTCCGTTGCAAGCTGCCACAAATCGAGGTAGCATATAAGCTGCTGAAGCGCGTACTGATGATTTATGAGTAGTGTGGGTTTATTGCGCTTTTTGTGAACGTTCGTCGCAGTTCGACAAACAGACAGACACCACATCCAGGGAAACGCTAGACGGCCGTTTCGTCCTACTAGGCCTCCTCAATAACGCACACTCGCCGAATCCTCCCGGATTAGAACCCACGACTTATGGCACTTAGCCATGGGGAACGGCAGCGGACCGCCGCTTATTGTGAGCAGATCAATGTTGGCTAACCATTTGTCTCATCGTATGCTCGCCGGCATTCGCTCTTTTGTTGAAGCCACTGGATGATGCATTAATATGAGGGTTAGTGACGTGAAACGATTTGCTACTTCCGACCGAGTTACACGAGCGTGCTTGATCTCCCAGGATGATGACGGCGTTTCAGTGAACCACCTCCTCCCATTGTTTCTGATTGTTAACTCATCGGTTACACGCTCCTAACATATTCTGACTAATTCACAATGGATATTTTGATTCTCGTCTCTCCTTTTGTTTTATTTTTATAATGTGATTCCATACTGGTGAGGTCTGCTGTTGAACTAAGCTTAACCGCAGACTCTGTACTTATCCTAACCTTGATCTTATATACATACCAATATCTGCATTTACCAAATTTTTCTGCGGTTAACAAATAGTCCACGGTCGCCATCGAACACTCCGATCTATCCGCTTTTTCGTTGCATTCATGACGTCTGTGTCGTCGAAACTTTCTCCGCAGCCTAAGTGGATAGTCTGATACTACATCCTATGCGCACCTGGAGACTGTCGCAGATCTGTTCAACAAAATCCTCCAATTAGCATACACCTTTTGTCATTGATTGGTAATTTCATCAGATGTACTTAGTATTCCAGGATGTCTCATCAGTCTTTTAAGGACTCTACTGGTTGCGTTTTTAGACCTTTGCTCCTCATTTCTCTCGTTCCGGCAGCTCATTCGTATGGCCAAAGATCGCAACAGTTCAACTTCTTCAGCTTCTGCATTCCCTCCCAAACTCAATCCATCATATACCTACGGAATTCTTGAATTACACCTCACCGAACAGGGGCGAACTACGACGCTAGACTCCAATCGGTCTGTTCGATACTCCAGTTTATGTGATCCCGATTCATTGCATAGCACTCTTCTCGGTTCTTCATCTTCGCATACACCGACCACGTCTGCAGTCTCAGGTGTACCGAATGCTCAGCTGACAGACCCCGGAAGTAACAAGTGGGGTGTTGATGCCTCCATCGCAGCAGTCGTGGTAGTCAACGAGAGAAGTATCCTCAACCTGTCCGCCGAAGGCATTCGCAACAATTCTACCGACCGCCTGTTACACCTGATCATGTACTTGATCGCCACCGACCCATACAATCGTTTTCCCAAATCGAGCCTTGCTCGTATGCATGAGCCACTGGTTTCACGTGTAAGTCTCCAATTCACTTTCATCTTCTAGAGTCCCCAATCCATTTGTGTCCCCTTGTGTTGTGATTTGCATTAGGCTAAAGTGCCCATGGCTCGTGTGTCTGTTGTTTCGCATCCATCGGTTCTTTGTTGCCTCTAGCGCCGTAGTCCAGCTGCGTGCATATCTTTCATACACAGCACTTGTTTGAATTCAAGCTGTTCATTGTCTAGATGAAAGAAAGACTACAAACCCCCTTTCCGTCTGTTTTGCCTCATGTTTGGGCACTACATTCACTGAGCCATCCCTTATGTGCTTATCTCGAATTTCTACGACCGTACATTCATCATTTGTGACAGCTTCCCGGTGAATCGCCTTGGTATCCCCAGGAGCATACATCAACGCAGCGCGCATTCACCGGGCCGAAAGTATGTTCAGGATGTACAAACAGTAAAACAAATGGACAGTCAAGTGGTACAAACACTAATAAAATCCAATGTGAAATACTGGAAATGTGCGTGCAGACTACTCCTGCACCTGTGGCAACGACGCGACCACTTTCGCCCTGAAGGGCGGAGTTTACTGTGCAACCGTCCGTTCAGCCCTCCTATACCATTGTTAAACCTGCCCCATCAAGTCGGCAGACATAAAGAGGCTAGCTACGTTTGATCATCGCTGTCTTCGCCGCTTACCTCATGTCTAGTGACAGCATCGCGTGAGCAGTGAGCGTGTTCGGCTTCGCGTATTTGGTGCAGGAAGAGCGAGTGAATCTCTGAGCACCGTTGTTTTATGCACCAGGATCCGATGGGCTGGCCACGTGTTGCGCATGCCAGCACACCGACTCTCGCGACGTGTGTTGCTTACGCGCTCGGGGTTTGGATGGCGTCAGTTGGTGCATCCCGACTGCCGGGTTGTGGTCCGAAGGACGATGAACACGTTTGGTTGCATACACTAGTTGACATGGCAAGGAGCCGACCTCATTGGCGTTTGTGTTGTGAGTTTCTCTGTCCCTCGCCATCCTGCCTATCTTTCTCCTCCAACGACGGCCTCTCTCTTGAAGCCTAACATGTTACTAAGCAGTATTGCATGTTTTTGCATTCCATACTGTTAAGTGTATTGCTTTTTCATATATATCTTCTTTATGTATTGCGACACAATAGTTAATGTGTGTTTCTCATCTTCAGCTAATGTGTAATGGTGATGATGTTTGGTTGGTTGGATGATACACTTGCTGATATGTTGAAGCGCCGGCTGCCACAATAGCATCCGCAATAGCCCCTCCAGATTCCCACTCTAATCACCATCTCATAACAAATGCATAACAAAAGGGGAAATGCAGGATCTGATATTTGACATTATATTACCTTCTTTTTGAACTTTTTTGGCCTGTGCTTTTCAGTATCTTACTTGTCTTGTATTGCGGCACATTAGCTGAACTGTGTTTCTCACCCTCAGCTAACGTGTCCTGATGATGAGGACAGATATGGCCGGTCGTACGAAGACAATTTACTTCGATGTGTATGCCGCTGCTGGCGCCTTCCTTCTTTCTTCTTCCCCTGCACATACTCCCCCCGTCCACCGTTTCATCTAACCCACTACTTCCTCCAATCCAGGACACCAGCTCCCATACGGTTGCCCGCCAATGCAGTCGTATGCTTCCTAGCAGAGCGCTCAACATTGGATGGTGGGACGTGCACCGTTTGCTCGACCGGAATACGAGTGAGCGTCCGGAACGACGCACTGCACTAGTCACAATGGAACTGGCGCGGTACAACATTCATATTGCGGGGCTCAGCGACACCCAGCTCGCTGTGCAAGGCAAGTTACATGAAGCTGCTGCTGGCTATACGCTCTGCTGGCTGAGAAAAGCCACCTCAGCACCACCTGAACATGGGATCGGATTTGCATTATCCGATCGCCTCCATGGCCAGCTGGTTGGTGAACCAACTGGCATCAGTGCGCAACTGGTGACTGTTTGCCTACCACTCGGGAGAGGTAAGTTTTACACTTTTATAAGCATTACGGTCGGGCCATGTGTTATCCTGATGACACGCGTGATCAATTCTAGACTCAGCTATCCTCCGTGATACGGTCTGTGCCGAGGATCGACCGACTAATTCTGCTGGGTGATTTCAACGCGCGCGTTGGACGTGATGCATCGGTGTGGACAGATGTCATCAGACCGCATGTCATTGGTTCAGCGAATGCGAACGGTGACAGGCTGCTCTCACTATGTGCCACTCACGGCTTGAGGATCACGAACACTCGGTTTGCACTGAGTGCGATTGATATAGCAACTTGGACGCACCCACGGAGTGGGCACGCTCATCTACTCGACTATGTCATCGTACGTCAGTGTGATATGCGTGAAGCTGAGTGTGGCACTGGTCATAAATTGGTGCGGACCAAATTGTACATATATTTTCGTAGCTCTATGTATTGCACTCCCGCCGTGAATCGGCGTAAATTTAACATTCTCTCCCTCGGTACTGTGGCGAAACGTATTGAGCTGGAGAAGGCGATGGATGCACGCCTGTGTGATGTGGACTGTATAGCCACAGTGGGCGACCTGTGGTACCACATTCTCGACCAGGTGACAGCTGCTGCCGAGGAGGCCATCGGGCGCGCAAATTATAAGCGGCCTGATTGGTTTGATGAGAATAATGCGACGATTGGCGCATTGGTGTCGAAGTAGTATGCAGCATTTGCTGCACATGTGGCAGACCCGAGTGACTTGGGGAAGAAAAGTAAGTTTGGTAGAATTCGTCGATGACTGACCCGAGAGCTCCGTCGCAATAAAAAATGCATGGTGGACGGAGAAGGCGAAGCAGATGGAGTGCTGCACCGAACGCCGCCAACGCAAGGAACTCTTTGACTGCTTGGTGTTGGTGTATGGACCGAGGTTGAACCGCTGAGGACGCTGCTCGATGGTAGTTCAGGCGCTGCCTGCACAGACTGCAGACATAATGCAGATCTGGCGAAAACACTTTGACTGTCTCTTGAACAACCGTTCAGAGATCGACTGGCCTACATTGAACGGCCTGAGGCAGCACGATGTGAAGGCGAATCTGGCGGATACGCCGACACTGGATGAGACGCAGAGAGCACTTGCTCAGCTGCGAAATGGCAAGTGTGCCGGTGCCGACGGGATCCCACCTGAAGTATTGAAACACGGCGGACCCGCGTTAGTGACTGCGCTGCACCACTTGGTGCAACGCGTGTGGATTGAGGAGTAGGTGCCTCCTGAGCTGAAGGATGCCCTTGTGCTACCACTGTTCAAGAGTAAAGGGAGCAAGCAATATTGCACGAATTATCGTGGCATCAACTTGCTGAGTTGTGTGGGCAAGGTGATTGCCCGAATCCTGCTCAATCGCCTCGTGAGTCAGGTTGTGAAACCTAACGTGGCGGAAGAGCAGGGTGGATTCCGTTCGGGTCGCAGCACTATAGATATGGTGTTTGCGGCTCGTCAGTTGCAGGAGAAGTGCAGAGAACGACACCAGCCATTGTACTCGCTTTTTGTTGATTTCACCAAGACGCTTGGTACGGTGAACCGCGAGGCATTGTGGCTGGTGTTGGGTAAGTTTGGTTGGTTTGGTTGGTTTGTAACTTTAATTGACTGTCTGCACAGTGGTATGCGAGCGAGAGTGCAGCTGAGTGGAGACCTCGGATGACTGCAGTTGTCTCTGGTGTGAAGCCAGGCTGTGCCTTAGCTCCTGCCCTGTTTAATATATATCTTCATGCAAGGTTGTCCTGTGCTTTTGATGCCGCTTGTGCTTACGGTGTTCGTGTGGATCACCGAGTTGATGGTGGGTTGCTGAACATCCGTCGTTTCGGTGCGAGTACTCTAGTCTGTGAGACCATTATCCGTATGTTGCTGTTTGCTGACGACTGTGCGTTGTTTTCACACAGCGCGGATGAGTTGCAGCATATGACTAGTGCTCTGGCTTCGACAGCGGCCAAATTCGGGCTCACCATCAACACAAGCAAAACTGTCTGTCTCTTTCAGCTTTCACCGGCGGTGCAGTCTTCAATATTGCCGTGAATAAGCATTGGTGCTGAAGTGTTGGAAACCACCTCCCGCTTCTGCTACCTTGGGAGTGTGATGTCGACTGATTAGCAGCTACATGGTGAGCTGCGTATCCGCGTGTTGAAGGCAGCGGCGGCATTCGTGAAGCTTGAGTACCGAGTGTGGAACAACTATCAGCTTAGCATTGGCACGAAGCTGATGGTATACAAATTCATGGTACTGTCCGTCCTCCTATACGGCAAGGAAACGTGGACGATGTACTGGCGATATGTGCGATATCTCGAGCGGTTCCATCAGCAGTGTCTGCGACGGATTTTGCGCATCGGCTGGGGCGACAGAGTTGCAGACACGGAAGTGTTGCGCCGAAGTGGTATGTATGCAGTGGACTGCATATTTTTGCTGAGACACTTGAGGTGGCTCGGTCATGTGCCGCCTATGCATTCGACACGGATACCGAAGCAGCTATAATATGGTCAACTGAGTGTTGGTAGGCGGCATGTGGGGAAACCGAAGCTTCGTTACCAGGACATGATCAAAGTGGGCCTCACGTTCCTTTTGATTGCAGGTCATTTGAGTCGAAAGCGCTTGATCGGCGTACATGACGCGATCTACTCATAAAGGCAGTTGCCGAGGTGCAAGAGAAAGACCTCATGCAAGCGGAGAAGAAGTGGCAGGCACGGAATTGACATTCGCCGATGGGTTGTACTCTATCGACAGCGAGTGCGTGGTGCTGTAGCCTATGCGGTCGCGAGTGCTTGAGTCAGGCAGGCCTAGGGAGGCATGAGCGAGGCCACTCGGGGCCAACACGGAAGCGACGACGAGTCCTGTAGAGAACGTAGGCAGAACCGGCGCAGCGTTTGTAGGTACTCTGCATTCGTTTTACTAATGGCCTGCTTGCGGACTGAGTTTCTTCAGTGATGTGTTTGCGATATTTTGTGAATGCTTATTTTGTCAGGTCAATTTGATGTCTGTCTGAATAAGGATTTTTTGACTTACA